TTTAATAAGTAAGGACACTGATCACCTTTACCATCAAAATAAGCTATTCACACAGTTCTGTAAAACTAATTTCACACCTCTGCAAAACTAATTTCACACCTAAATTTAACATTTTTTAATTCTTTCATTTGTCATTTGTTAGTGTAAATTATGATTTTTTTTTACTTGAAATTGACATTGGTTAAGCATTCTAACGTATTTAAAATCTTCGATAATTGTAAGATTTTCTTCTATAATCTTCAATAACCATTCTAGTGAATGTAAAATCTTGCATAATTGTTTTTTTTTTTTAACTGAGTTGGCTTCATTAGGTACCAATGTGTTATCCAAATATTTTGTCTTCTCATGTATGCGGCAATTACACATTTCACAGGTTATTATGTCACATTTATGAGAAAAAATACATTATGAAGTTTAACAAGTAGGGACACTGATCATCTTCACCATCAAAATAAACTATTTACACAGCTCTGCAAAACTAATTTCACACCTAAATTTAACATTTTTTTAATTCTTTCATTTGTCATCCGTTAGTGTAAATTATGAAATTTTTTTTTCTTGAAATTGACATTAGTTAAGCATTCTAGCGTATTTGAAATCTTGGTTAATTGTAGAATTTTCTTCTATAATCTTCAATAACCATTGTAGTGAATGTACAATCTTCCATAATTGTTTTTTTTTTTTAACTGAGTTGGCTTCATTAGATACCAATGTGTTATCCAAATATTTTGTCTTCTCGTGTATGCGGCAATTACACATTTCACAGGTTATTATGTCACATTTATTAGAAAAAATACATTGTGAAGTTTAATAAGTAGGGACATTGATCACCTTCACCATCAAAATAAGCTATTCACATAGTTCTGTAAAACTAATTTCACACCTCTGCAAAACTAATTTCACACCTAAATTTAACATTTTTTAATTCTTTCATTTGTCATCCGTTAGTGTAAATTATGATTTTTTTTACTTGAAAGCATTCTAGCGTATTTGAAATCTTGGTTAATTGTAGGATTTTCTTCTATAATCTTCAATAACCATTCTAGTGAATGTAAAATCTTCCATAATTGTTTTTTTTTAACTGAGTTGGCTTTATTAGATACCAATGTGTTATCCAAATATTTTGTCTTCTCATGTATGCGGCAATTACACATTTCACATGTTATTATGTCATATTTATGAGAAAAAATACATTGTGAAGTTTAATAAGTAGGGACACTGATCACTTTCACCATCAAAATAAGTTATTCACACAGTTCTAACAAACTAATTTCACATCTTTGCCAAACTAATTTCACACCTAAATTTAACAGCTCTTGGGATTTAATGGAGCCGGCTCTTGAAGTTCAATGGAGCCGGCTCTAAGTTGTTGAGCCGGCTCTTTGAGTTGGCAGCCGGCTCATAATAAATATGGAGCCGGCTCTCAGAATTTTGAGAGCCGGCTCCTTGCCAAGCAAAAAAAAAATAAAAATGAAAGAAAAAAAAAAAAATAATGGACAGCCGGCTCAAGAAGAAATGTGGAGACGGCTCAACCCAATTTTTTGGAGACGGCTCAATTAATTTGTAGAACCGGCTCTTTTGGGCTTTTTCAGAGATGCCGAGAGATGGATGTTTAACGGAAGGCAGATTTAACGGAATAATGCGTTTTGCACCATTTTAGTGGAGCCCACAGACATATTACAAACTGAAGCACACGTGGTTAAACTAAGGCCTTTCATCAGCTCATAGCAGGGGACTGTAGCGTAACTCACAACAGGCAATTTGAGCCCTATCCACTGTGGCCCTCACCACATTGTAGCTATCAATTTTCTATATGAAAAATAAAAATAAAAATAATACAAAACCCAATCATAATATCCACTGTGGCCGTCACCACATTGTCGCTATCAATTCCCCATATGGAAGATCATCCATGTGCTTTTTTTTAATTTATTTTTAAATACAACCATCCATGTGCTTCAAGAAAGAAAGATAAACCAAATCTTCAAAAAAAAAACCCAATCATAATACCCAGCATTAAACGTTGCTATCCAATAATTCAGTATTGGAAATTTTTTTTCGATGGTTCTAATTTAGCACATTTGAAATGTTACACTCGCAAAAAAAAAAAAAAAAAAAAAAAAAAACTATATAATAATTTTTCTTAGAAAGTTAGTTTGGATGCTAGCTGTTGGCCCTTTCTTTAATTTAATAAAATTGTTCAGAGAGATTGATTCAAGCAAGAACTTAGAGAAGAAAGTTCTCTAGAGAAAGAAATTTCACCCCAATCCCTCTATACCTTCTCTTTCCATATCTTTGGTTCATCAATCGCCGACTTCTTCCACACACGCACATACACGTGTATACTATATATATATATATATATATATATTGACAAATTAAGATTAGGAGGAGGGGATGTATCTTTGCTTGAAGAGTTAGATGCTCTATACAGAATAATTTAAAATTTAATTATCTAACTTATTGTAATATATATATATATATATATATATATATATATATATATATATATATATATATATTTGTTTTCAATGAGCATGAATGATTTTATGTTCACTTGTGACCAAACATATAATGCTAATTTCTTTTTCAAATAAAAAGGTTTGAACACTTGCAGGGAATGATTACACTTACACGGTGGGAATTTGTAGAAGATGTTTTCAGTAATTTAACATTGGGTAAAGTACAGTTACATCCCTTAATGTTTGGTAGAAGAACACTTAGAAAAAATTTACCTATTTTTTAGACAAAGACATTTCCTAAAGGTTTATAAATGGACAAATATATCCCTTTATATGAGAAATTGGCCAAATTATTTTTTGACCGTTTAGAAGACTTTTTTAACTTTACAATTTAATAAATTGAACCAATCTACCCTCATGAACAATTTATGCATAAAAAAAAAAAAAATTTATTGTTCACTATTTTTTTGGTTATTTACTTTATAAATGTCCTAACTTCTAAAAAATGTAGATGTCTAAAATGACGTTTTAATCCAATACATATATTTTAAATAAATTATATTTTGTTATTACTTCTTTTCTTTTTCTTTTTTCTTTTTAAATTAAGATGCTTAATTTTTTATCTAAAAAAATTAAACCAATCTCTTTTCCTTAAAAATAAAAAATATGGTACCAGTATAACTTTTTGCATCTTAAATTATAGATATCAAATATTATGCATTTCCCAACATAAAATAAAAAAAAAAAACATGCATAAAGTTACACTGACACCTATTTTCTTTTATGTTGGGAAATGCATAATATTTTATATATAATTTAAGATGCATAAAGTTATGCTGTTACCATATTTTTTATTTTTAAGGAAAAGAGATTGGTTTAATTTTTTTAGATAAAAGAATTAAGTATCTTAATTTAAAAATAAAAAAGAAAAAGAAAAGAAGTAATAACAAAATATAATTTATTTGAAATATATGTATTGGATCAAAAAATCATTTTAGACGTTTACATTTTTAAGAAGTGGGGCATTTATAAAAAAATAAAAAGAGTTTTTTATTTTTTTATTTTATGTATAAATTGTTCATGAGGATAGATTGGTCCAATTTATTAAATTTTAAAGTTAAAAAATTCTCCTAAACGGTTAAAGGGTAATTTGGTCAATTTCTCATGTAAAAGGGGTGTCTTTGTCCATTTTTGAACTTTCAAGGATGTCTTTGTCCAACAAACAGGTAAATTTTCTCTAAATATCTTTTTATCAAATCTCATGGAATGTAGCTGGGCTTCACCCTTTTAAAATTTGTGATATTTGAATTGTTATAACTAATTTTGTTAATTTAATGGTTTTTTTAGTAGAGATGATGTAGAGATAGATAATGTTGAGAGAGAGCGTGTGTGTTTCTCAGCAGTGAAATAGAGTGGAAATTGCTAATTTGCTCCCTGGATAGAGAGGGAAAGACAGTCATCCAAACATGGCACAAGCGTGCGTGCTAAAGAAAGAGTAAACAGATCCGTAATGCCAGTAAACTCTCTCTCATAAAATGTTTCACTCCATCACTGTCCAGTGGATAAAATAACTCACATGAAGAGAAAATAAAATAAAAAAATTTAACAAAAGTAATTTATACATAAATTTTCGGTAAGTTATTTTACATGCCTCGCCCGATAGACTCAATCTCAATCTCAACGTAAACCTTTACTAAACACTAACAAAGTAAAAATTAAAGAATATTTTACCTGAAAAAAAAAAATTCTCTAAAAAGAATATTTTCTGTCGAAACAAATGGAGCCTTAACAAGGTTTTTTTTTTTAAAAAAATTATTTATAATGTGGATAATAAAGGAGTGAGGAACATATAAAAAACGTGAAATGAATGTGAAAAAAAGAAAAACAAGTATTTTAGGGTGTGCAGAGTCCTTAACTGAACACCAATGATTGTTCGTATATAAATGCAATATAAAAGGAAGTGAGCCCCAACTTTCTTATATCTTGTCGATCAATAATAATTATGTTTAACTCCTAACTAGTGTTTGCTTTTAACTTTTAAAAATATTATTCAAAAGCCAAATTATGCATGTGAAACTTGCTTATAAATATGTATGATGTATTGAAGAACAAAGGCAGTGTAATACCCGGGTTTTAGATTAAGCTTTAATTTTGATTAAATGTATGATTAGTAAATTTATTTTGGAGACTTTATTATTTTATTTGGGGAGTTTAATTTTATTAAAGGGATATTAGAGGTCCTTGTGAAATTATTCAAGTGTGATGGGGACTTTGGGAATTTATGAATAATTAGGATGGTTGATTCTAGGTGATTGCAAGGTCTTAAGACACGTTTCACACATGCACCACTTATCTGATGACTCACCTATTTACTTTTATATACATCTTACACCAAACACAACCTAGCACTGTAACATTGCAATTGTTTCACATGGTTAAAGAGATTGAGAGAATAAGAGAGGACTGAGATTGCGACGAGGTAAAAAAAAAGAGAGGAGAGCTGGCCGAGAATTACAGAGAGTTAGAGAGTCTCATGCCATGGGTTCCACTATTTTGGATATGGTAAGAGGTGTTTCTGTTCTCTAAATTGGTCATGTTTGGATACACATATATACTTTGCATTGCACATTTGTGCTATATATACTGCAAACCCAAACAAACCCCGTCTCTGAATCTCTTACTTCCTTGGCAGAGCTGTTTTAGCTTCAGTTTTGGCAATAACTGGAGTTTGACGTCTAGCAGAAGATCAAGGCTTCGCATTTCCCAGGTGGGTTTTCATTCCAACATTTTTCTCTAATAAAATTCAATCTATCTTCTGTTTGGATGATCAGAAACGGAGAGAAAAAGAAAATGTGATTATGGATTTTATGTTAGTCTTGGTATAGTGTATTTTTTTTATTTTTATTTTATTTTTTTATGAATTGAGGGGCACAATGTGAACATTATTGTTGCATCGTGAAATGGTAAGAAGGGGCAGATTGCTCATTGAACCACGGGTATCTGGTAAGGCTCTGAGATTTGGATTCAAAATGTTATAATCATGCTATCATTATCAAAATCAAATAAATTGGCCAATGTAATACAAAAATGACTCGAAATGTTAGCAAGTGATTGAAATATTATTAAATTATTTGAAATCATTGGCTAATAATAATAAACTTGGCATATTAATAACACATCATGCATTTTGGTTCGATATGATGTAGGGCATCCAGAGATCATATCAAGTGAGATAGGTCTGATCTTAATAACGGAGAAATTATTAGGTGATCCCCACCAATGATAAAAGGCAACTTATTTCATGATTCAGTTTTTTTTTTTTCAAAAATCTTCACATTTCTAATACTTTCTCCTTAATAATGATATCGGTCCTGAAAGACCTTACCCAAAAATAATAATAATAATAATGAAAAAACACAGGTATTTTCTGAAATAAAATTCCACATGGTTTAAAAAGAAATAAATTTTGTTAGAGAAATAAGCACAGTTTGGAATGTCGTGACAAAGAAAGGTATTCTTCATAGTATTTAGTTGTTAGAGGGGAAGGGGAGTGTGCAAGGCTAAACATGGGTTTCCAAACACGAGGAGCAACCCAACTACTCGGGCAACACGACACTTGCCATAATTTTGTAAATATAAAGATGCTAATTCTTTTTAAAACTATGTTACAGGTAAAAACCGTCGGAGAGCTAAGGAAGACACGAGATAAGACAGACCTGAGGGGAAAAATAAGGAATGTCATGGAAGATAATCTTATCATTTCCGATTCTCATAAATCTATGCTAGACATCTCCCCTCCACTAGTTAGTGCATTACAAGCTTTAGCAGAACAAGATGCTGCCAGTTTTCACTTCCCAGGGCATAACAGAGGGCTAGCTGCTCCATCATCATTGACTCGACTCATTGGCTTCAGAACTTTTCTTCATGATTTAAATTTACCCCCGTCCCTTTCTCCCAAAAGGTCCATTTTAGATGCACAAGAACAAGCAGCCAAACTGTTTGGCGCATCAGAGACATGGTTTCTTGTTGGGGGCACAACTTGTGGAATCCATACGGCAATTATGGCCACTTGTTCCCCGGGAGACTCTCTGATTATCCCCCGGAATTCCCATATATCAGCCATCTCTGCCATTGTATTGTCTGGAGTAGTACCAAAGTACATCATTCCCGAGTATGATTTTGATTGGGACATCGCTGGTGGAATCACTGCTTTGCAGGCATGAGTACGCCCCATTATTATCTGTTACAATGGTATAAGTTGTAAAAGTTGCTATTTTTCTGACATTGTTAATGCTGCAGGTAGAGAAAGCAATCAAGGAATTGGAAATGGAAGGTCGAAAAGCGGCTGCAGTTTTTGTCACTTCCCCTACTTACCATGGTATATGCAGCAACTTGAGCGAGATATCAAAGCTGTGTCATTCTTGCAACATTCCATTGATTGTTGATGAGGCTCATGGTGCACACTTGGGATTTCATCCCAGCATGCCTTGTTCAGCCCTCCAGCAAGGTGCTGATCTTGCTGTGCAGTCTACTCACAAAGTCTTGTGCTCTCTTACGCAGTCATCAATGTTACATATGTCAGGAAATCGAGTAGATAGAGAGAGGATTTGCAAATGTCTCCAAACCATTCAAAGCACTAGTCCAAGTTATCTGCTTTTAGCTTCGCTAGATGCAGCTAGGGCTCAACTAAGTGAAAACCCCGAAACAATTTTCAACAAAGTAATGGAATTGGCTGTTGAAATGAGAACTCTGATCAACAAAATACCAGGTATTGCAGTCCTCGATTTTCCAAGCTTCTCTAGCTTTCCTGCCTTTGATCCCTTGCGAATTACTATTGGCGTATGGCAGCTTGGTCTTTCTGGATATGAAGCGGATCATATTTTAATTAAGGATTATGGGGTGGTTTCCGAACTTATAGGTTCTGGATCTATTACCTTCGCGATTAATCTTGGAACTTGTAGAGAGCATGTTCTGAGACTAGTGTCAGGATTCAAGCATTTATCGGGAACTTTCTCACTAAATCAGGGCATGAGTCAGAGATTGGATGATATTGAGTGTTCACCCTTTGATGACATTAACATGATCTTGAGCCCAAGAGATGCCTTCTTTGCGAGTAAAAGAAAAGTGAGTGTTAGAGAGAGCCTTGGTGAAATATGCGGGGAGCTTATAACTCCATTCCCACCAGGGATTCCTGTACTGATACCGGGCGAGGTTATCACACAGAGAGCATTGAATTATCTATTGCAGCTTAGAAGCAGGGGTGCTGTAATTACTGGTGTTGCTGATCCTCTTCTATCGTCCATAGTTGTCTGCAATACATGAGATGTTCTTGGGAACCATAGGGTTCCAGCTCATTTACTTAAAAGAGCACTCGAGAGTGCATTCCAATTTAGAAGGGGTTCGTAATTGAAATTGATATGTTGTGCAAATGAAATCAATGACATTTGAACATTGAAAATGTAATCTGTATTTCGTACAGCATTCGCAACAGTTTTATGCATTTGATCATTCACATCACGAGTCCGAAACTTGGAAATGAAAAGAACCTATACACCCCTATTGTCACCAACTGTTCTCCAAATTAGACAATGAAAACTGCAAGGAATGGACAAAATGCATCCTACTTTCTGTAAGCTATATCTCCCATCTCCCTGAAGGTACACAATGAAAAGAAAATTAAACTACGCAAACAACATGAGGTTGAACTAGGCTAAAGCAATGGAAAAAACATGCAATCCTTTACGCTCTTCGTATTCCAAATGCAGAATGGAAGAGCGCGTGAAAATCAGAAACCTGAGATTCAAAATAAACTATATATAGTTTCCCGTAGTTTCCCTTTCATATATTTTTCTTACACATTACTATCAGTTATCAGATTCAATACAACAGGTAGCCCTACCCCCTTCAACCTTCTTCAAGTTCACGAGAAACATACAGGTTTTTTAGGGAAAGACAATATAAAGGCTGAGAAAATAAGATGTGTACGACAAGCTGAACCTAGGTCACAAAAAGGGGTTCAAAATAAAGATTGTAGGCACCATTCTATCTTGATGAGGTTCTTCTACCTTCACCTTCAGCCCAAAATACACCAATCTGCAACTGCACATCTAATCTACCTTCACCTTCTTGCCTGCTTTGGCGGTCGATTTACGGGTTCAAAAACAGGTGCCTCAAAATATGGAGTAGAGAGCCCTGGTCCACCAAGCTGCAAGTCTGTACCCTCATTCGGACCTGCCCATGCTATTGGATTGACTGCAGGGAGTATAATCAACATTGTCAGAGGCTCATTAACAGAGAGTTCCATTAGATAATATAGAGGCATTCCTAATGCTATGTAACAAAAAAAGGATTAACCACCTGCATATATAAACTCCCATTGGATGGCTTTCAGTCATATGTAGATGTATTAGTTTTAGAAATTAAAATGTTCACCTTAGTTTGGCTGGAAAGTGACCTCTTACAGCTAATACAAAAATTTCAGTACTCTAGTTACAGTGTGTTTCTTACAAATACAAAGCTTTTACATACCTTCACTAGGTCCAAGAAGTGCGGGCATTCTCGGACAATTTGTTGAAAATAAACTTGATTTTAGTATTTAGTATTTTCAAGTATTTTTGTATCCATGATGCATGTGTTAATTTAGCATGTTAGTGGGTAGTAAATTGTCTTAGTGGGAGTTAAGGTTATGTAAAATAAAGAGTCATGAGAGTTAAACCTAACAAATACTATGTTAGTGGGAGTTATGCATATTGAAGATTATGTTAGTGGGAGATAGGAGAGTTATAGACATTTAAATGTAATGGTTACACATATATATGTGAGGCCTATATATTCATGTACTCTAGTCAAATAATAGAAGAAGTGAAATAAAAAGTATTTTCCTCCATTTCTATTCTCTTCCAAATAGTATAGTGTTGTGTGTGTAACTAGGCCACTATTTCCAACAAAGTGGTATCAGAGCTAGATTTCATGTTCAAAGCCAGATTTCATGTTCAGAGCCTAGACGATCCTGAAGGCCAGACGAAGTTGATCCTAGAAGGTTCAACATTTAAGAAAAACATGTTTCTCCTTGATGATGATGAAGGGGAGAAAATGTATTTTCTTAGTGAAAAGATGATGTTCTCTAATTACAAGAGAATGAGAATCATCATGACTTCATACCTCAAAGCATGCGATTTGTGGGATGTTGTTGGAGAAGAGCCAAAGAATGGCATGTCCAACAAGCTTCATGAAAAGAAAGAAGATAAGGCATTGGTAGTGTTGCAAAAGGCAATACATCAAGAAATTTGGGAGTATTTTGGAGAGTCCAAAACTCCAAGTTGTATTTGGAAGCTGCTCGAGACCATCGTTTCCAATCATAGAGGTGAATCATTACCCATGGAGTATTGGGTACAATGCTTTGAGAATGATGAGGTTACGAAAGATGATTATGAAAGTCTTGAAGACAAAGTTGTGGAGAATGAAGAGGTGTATCATGCAAAAGAAGTTGAAGATTTTGGAGATTCAAAAGTTGAAGGAGAATTTGAAATGGTGAATAAGGAAGAGGTAAGAAAAGGTGTTAAATAAGAGATTGAAAAAATGAAGGAGGATGAAGTGAAAATAGAAGATTTAGAAGAAGGAAGTGCTAAAGAAGAGGCAAAAGTTCAAGTTGGTGAATTAACATCTTCAGGTATGGTTACAAATTCCACCTTGAAAGAAGTTATATTTGACTTATTTGATGAAATTATTATTTCTTCATATTCATCAAATAATGCTTATTTTGTGGAGAATGATGAACTTCTCTTAAAGAAAGTTGTTCCAAAGAAGTATGAGATTGAAGCCCAGGATGATAAGAAATTCTCATATTATTTTTTTAAAAATAGTTTGGAGAATTTTGTAATTGATACAGGTTGGGTGAATATGGAATTATTTTTTGACTCTAAAGAAGAAGTATATGTGAAGTTGAAGATCCATAAAAAATTTAAGAAGAAAAAAGATCGATGGTGTGCTTGTATAAAGAGGATGATATATGATTATGTGAAGACATCAAACAAGCATTTGAAGAAGTTTCATAAGCCCTACACATCAATGGAAATGGCCAAGAAGATTGAAGCTATTGAAGGAGGTGGAATTGAAGATCAACTATCGAATTTTTGATTAAGCCCCCAAGATTAATAAGAAGGTTTTTCAAGTTACAAAATCAAGTTTAAAGGGGGGTGTTGAAAATAAACTTGATTTTAGTATTTAGTATTTTCAAGTATTTTTGTATCCATGATGCATGTGTTAATTTAGCATGTTAGTGGGTAATAAATTGTCTTAGTGGGAGTTAAGGTTATGTAAAATAAAGAGTCATGAGAGTTAAGCCTAACAAATACTATGTTAGTGGGAGTTATGCATATTGAAGATTATGTTAGTGGGAGGTAGGAGAGTTATAGACATTTAAATGTAATGGTTACACATACATATGTGAGGCCTATATATTCATGTACTCTAGTCAAATAATAGAAGAAGTGAAATAAAAAGTATTTTCTTCCATTTCTATTCTCTTCCAAATAATATAGTGTTGTGTGTGTAACTAGGCCACTATTTCCAACACAATTGCCATCATATGAACCTGTCAAACGAGTAGGACGCTTTCTCACATAGTTTTCCTGCAACGGTCTTGGGATTTGAAATGAAAATTGCGACATAGTCACCCCTTTTGCCATGTACTCTGGATGTTCTAGCAAGTGCCTGAATAATCAGAAGCATTATGAATAAATTCAAAGGATATATCACAAAACCACTTACTACCAGTGTTAGAATAAACCACCCTCAAGTAATTTGTTTATACATTTATTTTGAAAAATTAAATATTACAATATGAAAAATAAAAAGAGCAAAGATCACCATAATATTGCAATGATCAAGTGAGAAATATACCTCTGAATTTCAACCATAGAACGAAGTCTCTTGCCTGATGGTGCAACATAATACCTGAAAACCATGTGGAAAAGCATATCATAATGGAGTGATGATATTTGATATACCAAAATACCGTTAATATGCACACCTTTGCAGCTTCCACAGCTGCATTGGTAAGTACTTAATTTATTGTTAGTTTGAAGTTGCACTCAACAATGCAGCCACAAACATTATAGGATGGTAACAGGTCACCCAATTTTTTTAGGTCACCAATGATCTGGGTATAAATACAAAAGTGGGTGACAGAAAATAAGCAGCATGGAGGAGGAAAAAAAAACAATATTAAAATCAAAGTAGACCTAACTGAGGCATATAAGAATTTTAAGTGCCCTCGGAAGGGTGAATAAATATCAAGCCCATAGAAGCCTCAGGAAATATTCACACACTTGCCCTATTTTGTGGAAATTGCAGATAGCATTAATGGAATGTCCATATCAACTCATTAAACATAACATGATGTGTTGAAGAATACAGACACAGTGAAGTAGCAAAAAAAAATCAGTATAACTTTTTGAAGCTTTTGTCTCTTTCATTATCTCAAACCATGGGTTCCACATTATTGTTCCATTGTGAAATGGTAAGAAGGAGCAGATTGCTCATTGGACCACGGTATCTAATAAGTCCTGAGATTTGGATTCAAAATGTTATAATCATCATATCATTATCAAAATTATTTGATTTTGATATCGTATGATTAGTGATTTTGACTCTAAATGTTAGCAAGTGATTGAAATATTTTTAAATTATTTGAAATCATTGGCTAATAATAAGCTTCGCAAATTAATCAAGACATCATGCCTTTTGGTTCAATATCAGGGTATCCAAAGATCATATCAAGTGATATAGGTCTGATCTTAGTAATGGAGAAATTATTAAGTGATTCCTATCAATGATAAAAGGCAACTTACATCATGATTCAGTTTTTTTTTTTTTTTTTAAAAAATCTTCACGCATTGCTCTTTCTAATAATTTTTCCATAATAATGATATTGGTTCTGAAAGACCTTACCCCAAAAAAAAAGAATAATCTTGTAGTATTGGGTTCTGAAGTAACATTCCAGATGGTTTAAAAAGAAATAGATTTTGCTAGAGAAATAAGCGCAATTTGGAATGGCATGACAAAGAAAGGTATTCTTCATTGTTAGGATTTAGTACTTAGTGGGGAAGGGAAGGGTGCAAGGCTGAACATGGGCTCTCGAACACGAGGAGCAACCCAACTACTCGGGCAACACGACACTTGCCATAATTTTGCAAATACAAATATTCTAATTCTTGTAAAAACTTGTGTTGCAGGTAAAAAACGTCGGAGAACTAAGGAAGACACAATATATGACAAACCCGAGGAGAAAAACAAGGGATGCCATGGAAGATAATCTTATCATTTCTGATTCTGAGCAATGGCGGGTCCAGGGTAGGGTCACAATTTTTTTTTTTTTTTTTTTTTTCATTACTACGGGTAATTTCAGCCCAGTCCAAAAAAAAAATTATTATTAATAATAGCCCACCCAAACTAGTCCAAATCAATTAAGCCACAATACTAAAATAAAAGCCCAATCCAAAAACAAGCCCAAGCCAAACAAGCCCTAATACATAAACTAGTGCTAAGTCCTAGCCCTAATATCATTCGCGAATCACAATTCACAGTTTGGTATTCTAGAGAGAAGAACTCTGAATTCCCAGATTCTCCCACTGACTTCTTTTTTCAGAAATTTATAATTTTTTTTTGAGAAATTAAGCGAAATTTATGTATATATATATATATATTTTCTTTTGTGTGTGTGTGCATATAAAAACTGATTGTTTGGGTTTAAGGACAGCGCAAAAATTTATATATGTTTGTTAATGAATCCAAAGCTATCAAACATAATTAAACTTGTTTCCATTCTTGGTTTACTTTTCAAAATTGCAACCTAACATAAATAGAAAGCTAGAGAAATCGATCTAAGTCATAATTAAAATTTAGTTTGATTTAGGCATTTTTAATTTATATTTTTTAATTTAGGTATTTTTAATTTAACTTATTTTTGAACAAGACCATTGTTTGAAAAATTGACTTAGAATTTATTATCAACGAATTCGAGCCTTTAAAGACTCGTCGAGCATAACTAAAATGGATATTTTGTAATAGTTAAATTCAAATATTTATCTAGATTATGTTATCAAAAAAAAAAAAACTTAAAAAATTATGTGATTAAATTTATATTTAATTTTAGCCCACCCCATGAATTCGTGAATCTGCCCTTGATTCTGAGCCATGCTAGACATCTCCCCTCCACTAGTTAGCGCATTACAAGCTTTAGCAGAACAAGATGCTGCCAGTTTTCACTTCCCAGGGCATAACAAAGGCTAGCTGCTCCATCATCATTGAGTCAACTCATCGGCATGAGTAGGGCTGCAAGTTGGGCTGGTCCAACCCAGTCCAGCCCTAACCCAACCTAACTCGAATCGGGTTGGATTGGGTCAATCCGAATTGTACTCAACATGGATTGTGGTTATAACCCGAATCGAATTTTTTCGGGCGGGTTGGGTCGAGTTTACGGGTTGAGTTTTTTTTTTTTTTGGAAATTTATATATATTATATATATATGTATATTATATATTTTTGATTATATTATTATTAGATATATATATATATATATATATATATATATATATATATATATATAGGGCAAATCGTTTCAGCCTCCGCAATTGCCGCCTCCATCTCTCTTCTCGTTCTCAACTCTGAACTTGCCTTCTCTCTCTCTTTCTCTCTCTGCAACTGCAAAGTACTAAATTTACAAGAATCAGAATTTCAAAACCTATATATTTCAGTTTATCTATCTGTTGCAATAATCAAAAGTTCAAAAACTATTACCTATATGAAAACCCATATAGGCATATCATTTCAGATTGTTCAAAAAATCAAAACCCATATCTTTCAGCTTGCCATCAACCCCAAAAATATATATATATATATAGATATATATATATATATAAATGGTAGTGTCTGTTATAGTTGTGACGGGTTGATAATTTTGGAAACAACATTTTGAAGTTTATAAAAATATGTATATATATAAATGGTAATGTTGAGTACGAAAAGTGAAGAGTAGAATCTCTGTTTTGGGGGGATTAGATTTTCTGAGAAATTAAAACAAAAAAAGCTCTATTTGGAAGACATTTTGTAAAGAAGAAGATTGTAGATTACCCAAGAGGTAGCAGAAAATGGTAATTCCCTTTTTCATATTTCGGCCTCCCCAGTCGCCTCCACCTCCAGGTCTCATTCTCAACTTTCTCTCTCTCTCTGCAACTACAAACTACAAAATCTACAAGAATCAGAAGTTCAAAACCCATATATTTTTCAGATCTGTCTGCAAGAATCAAAAGTTTAAAACTCATATATCTTAGATCATTTCAGATTGTTCAAAAAATCAAAACCTAACCCGAAAGAGAAAGAGAAAGATTGATGATGACCAGAAGTTCTTTGAAAATGCAGAAAGAAAAAGAGAAAGATTGATAATGACCAGAAGTTCTTTGAAAATGCAGAAAGAGAAAGAAGAGAGACCGAGAGAGAAAGAGGAAGAAGAGAGAGGAGAAAGAAGATAGAGAAAGAGGCGGTGGATCTGAGGGACGGCAGTGGCGGTGGCAAGGATGGCAGCAGAGAGAGAGAGAGGAGAGTGGAGAGAGAAAGGAGAATATATATATATATATATATTTTTTTTTAATTTTGGGTTTCGGGTTGGGTTCGGGTTGAGTCCGAGACCAACCCAAATATGTCTGAGTTTTGACAAAACACAACCCGAACATAACCCGATTTGTAAATTATATGTCCAAATTTCAAAATTTTTGGATTGGGGTTGGGCTGGGCTTGGCTAGCCCGCCCAAATTGCAGCCCTAGGCATGAGACCATTTCTTCATGATTTACCCAAGGCCCTTTCTCCCGAAAGGTCCATTTTAGGTGCACAAGAACAAGCAGCCAAACTGTTCGGAGCATCAGAGACATGGTTTCTTGTTGAGATTTACAGCACTAATTTATTAAAAATAATGCTTAATAATATTAAAATAAATTAGTGTTAGAGTAGGTGAGATATGGTCAAAAGTTAAGGGTGTAGGAGAAATTAACCCTATTTATTTTCTTATTGTGAAGCTTCATTTGCGTAATCAATATTCTAAATTGTGGCATAAGAGACCCTAGGTTAGGTAACTGAATTTCCTAATTGGACTAAGGCCCTGTAAACCAACCAAAATTAAGTGGACTGGGACTAGGCCCGATAAATTTTCTTTTCCTGAATTTTCGTGGTATTAAAAAGGGACTTCAATCCTCCAAGTTGAATCTTGTTCATTTATATCGTATGTTTGTTGTATATGGCCATGGCCTAAACAATGCCACATCAGCTAAAATCTAAAATGTGTTTTTTCCCTCTCTCTTCGTCATCCTCCCTCTGCAACACTTTTCATTCCATCTCTCTAAAGCTTCCTCTCTAGGGTGGTTATTATTATTATTATTATTATTATTATTATTATTATTATTATTTTTGCAGTTACGGTTTTATCTCATCTGCTTCGTTAGATTAGATTTGTCGGTTCTATCACTTCTTGGTCTCCTCTTCTTCCATTACCAACTATTGTGTAAAAAAAAAAAAAATTTGTCCCCCGTGGTGTGTTAAAGGTTCAGAGGATTTTTGTAAATTCTGATTTATTTTTATAATATTTGATGTGTTAGTACCTCATTTATTCGATTTACGATAATGTAGACAAAATTCAACTGACAGAAATCTCAACCGAAAAGAGATTGTAGCAAGGGATAGAACAGGATGATTGTAGAATACTGATTAGGTGACTATAATCCCTAGTACAGAGTATTATAAATATATATATATATATGATAGAGAAAATCAATAATTTTGGATTCTTAGCAATCTTAGAATTTCTTATACTTATCTAGTTTGTTTCTTGATTATTATTTAATTTCCTTATTATAAAATTTGACTTCCTTATAATAGGATAATCTGGTATTCTTAGGATTTTTTAGTTTGAGTTTATAGTACTTATCTAGATAGTTTTGTAATTGTTATTTAGTTTTCTTGTTGTAAAATTTGACTTACTTATAATATGATTTCAGTTATAAGTTATATGTACCTCATTTTATTTTTATGGTATAGAGCTCTCTCCTCTTGGAACTGCAAAATCCTAATCTCTCCACCGCACCTTCTCCTTTGGCATCAACCATATCCAATGAAAATAATCAAGCCACAAACTCAAATAACAATCAGGAAACTATCTAGATAAGTATAAGAAATTCAAACTAAAAAATCCTAAGAATCCGAAATTATTGATTTTCTCTACCAATATATAATGAAGAAAACACGTAAGGGATGCAAGACATAAATGTGACAAAGAAAAATGAGTGTATAATGAAGGAGAGACATCGCAGG